AAATGATTTAAATCATAAACTTCAAGAAATCCTTAACCAACTAATGGACGCCCGGGTGGATCAGAGAGAATTGGAGCGTCGACAAAAAATGAAAGATTTACTTGAAAGTCTAATGAGAGTGTTCCCCGAGGGTGTGCATGGGCGAATGATCGATTTATGTAAAACAACTCAACGAAAATACGATGTGGCAATAGCCATCATTCTTGGAAGAAATATGGAAGCTGTTGTTGTCGAAACAGAGAAAATTGGACTTGAATGTATTAAGGTTAGATTTGTTCAAATCTGGACAACTTTTCTTTACATTAGCTTAATAATACAAGACTTGTGTTTTTTTATTAGTATATACGAGAGCAACGACTAGGTCAAGCTACCTTTATTCCGTTGGATACGATTTCTGTAAAACCTATTAATGATAAGTATAGAAGTATGCTTAAAGGTGCAAGGTTAGCGATTGATGTAATCACTTTTCAAAGAGATTATGAGAGAGCCTTCCAATACGCCTGTGGAAATACCTTGGTGTGTGATACTTTGGAAATAGCCAAAACAATTTGTTATGGGAAAAATGAAGCTGTCAAAGGTATTTTTAAACTTCTATTAGTAAATCGAGAAATCGACATCAGAATAGTGGATTCGAAATGGACAATAATTTGAGATTGTTGCGTACTTTTCATAGCTGTCACTCTAGATGGCACAATTATACATAAGAGTGGTTTAATTACTGGTGGTCAAAGCGGAATAGAAGCTGGCGCACGAAAATTCCAAGAGTCGGACTTTGAAGGTAAAAATTCATGATTTATATGTTGTTCATTGAATTCAGAATTGGCCCAAATTAGAACTTAGGGTGAATTATTATATTCTCTTATGACAGCAATGAGTCGTAAGCGAGATGCATATATGTCACAATTAAATGAATTGAACAAATCGAAACGTAAAGGGAATATCGAAGAACAGATTAAAGGTGAAATCTCCGCATTCGAATCGAAGTTAACTTTGTTTCGTGAAGATCAGGTATATGCTATTTCACTTTCAAATTATTATTTTTGATCAATTACTTTGAATTTTTTTTCCTCTTATATGCTCTGGGAATTTAATTTGTCTTATGTAATCCTTAGAATGCAACAAGGCGGAGATTGGCTTCTACAGACGAGGAATTGAACTTGATTCAAAGTGAAATCAAACATATACAGCCAAATGCCAATAAGGTTTTTTATTATTAATTATATAATATAATTATTAGTTTCCAATTATTAAAAACTTTAATTTTATATAGGCTGAGAATGACTTAGCAGCTTTGAAGTCAAGAATTGCCTCGTTAGAGGATGAAATCAATGCAATTGAAGATAGCATATTTAGCGAATTTTGTGAGAAAATTAGAGTTGCAAATATACGAGAATACGAACAACGTCAACTAAGAATGGCACAAGAAGCTGCTGAAAAAAAATTGCAATTTGCCACGAAACAATCGCGACTTCAAAATCAGTATGTAAAAAAATATACGTTTGTTAAACTTATAATTTATAATATTTGACCCTTGAAAAATATTTATATCTGATAAGATTAAAATTTGCGGAGGAGCAACTCAATGAAACTGCCGACCGCTTAACAAAGCTTCAAGAATTGATTGATAGAGATACCTATAATTTGTCAGACTATGAAGCAAAACGGGATCAAATCTTACAAGATAATGAAAATATTTCGGAAGAAATTCAGAAACTCAATGAAGATTTAGAAAAAGTCAAGGAAGAACTTTCCGCTAAAACAGATGTATTGAATAATATAAAAAAAGAATTGACAAAAGTCAATAAAGAGCTTGATAAATTATCTAAAGATGTGATCAAAAGGGTGTGTTCTGGTGATTTTTTTATTCATTTTACATCTTATATAAATTATTTGTTTATACCATTATTTATTACAGGAAGATGACATCAAAAGGAATCGTAGTGACCAATTCTCTATATTTCGCAAATGTAAATTGGAGGAGATTGATTTACCGTTACTTGAGGGATCACTGGATGATATACCAATTGAAGATCCGGTAATTTCTAATGATTTTTAATGCATTGATAATTTCAATTCATTAATCTTAAAATAAATAAATGTAAAGCAACCACAAGATGATCCATTTGAAATGGATATCGATGATGAGCCTGGCCCGTCAGCTAGAGGCGCGGATCGATATGTACAACTGGATACAGATTGGCCAATAACAATTGATTTCTCAGAGTTGACCCGACATCAGACAGATGTAAGAGATTTTTCTTAAACTCAAAAATTTCATTATTTTTTTGATCATGGTGCATGGTTATGTATCTTCTTTGAAATCATTTAGACCAATACGGATAATATGGCAAATATGGAAAAGCAATTTCATGCTTCGCTTGCTGAAAAAAATGCGGAAATTGAAAGGATGGCTCCTAATTTAAAAGCTATTGAGAGGTTCTAACGGGATTCGTGTTTATATCTTTTTTTGTTTTGAATAAAAATTAAAATTAATAAATAACATTTTATGTTAGATTGGATGTTGTCGAACAACGTTTACAAGACACGGAAAAAGAATTTGATAGTGCAAGAAGACAAGCAAAGACTGCAAAGGAAAAGTTTAATATTATCAAACAGAAAAGGTAATAAATACTTTAATATTCTTGTTATGACAATGATGACCATAATGATAATAATTCTGGACATTCTCAAAAGTTTTTTTCATTGTCTTTCACCAGATATCAACGCTTTAATGACGCATATAGTCATATATCAGAACGGATTGACCAAATTTATAAGGATCTGACGAAAAGTCGAAATTTCCCATTAGGCGGGACAGCTTATTTAAGCTTAGAAGATACGGAGGTAGGTTATTGTCGTCATGGGCAGTGTCCGACATCTTTACGTCCGGAACTTTGAAATCTGCGTCTATTAGATTAATGCCGGCAAATTACTTGTTAATTCCAGAGTTATTAACACCTCTTAAATTTATACACAGGAGCCTTATTTAGATGGGGTAAAGTATCATGCAATGCCTCCCATGAAACGATTTCGCGATATGGAGCAGCTATCTGGTGGGGAAAAAACCATGGCTGCCTTAGCATTATTGTTTGCTATTCACAGGTACAATTAAAATTTCCAATCATGATTTTCCAACATTAGTTTTGGTTGTTATTGAAAAGCTTAACAATCCATACATTTTTTTTATAAAATTTAGCTATCAGCCATCGCCATTTTTTGTACTTGACGAGGTAGATGCTGCGCTTGACAACACAAATGTGGGAAAAATTGCAAATTATATTCGAGAACATGCATCCGACACCTTTCAGTTTGTTGTCATATCACTAAAAAGCACTCTTTATGAGAAAGCACAAGCTCTTGTGGGGATATATCGCGATCAAGAAATAAACAGTAGTAAGACTATAACTTTAGAGGTATGTATTAAAAACTATTGTTTTGAATTGTTTCTTTTTTGATGCTGAATTATTTTTTGATTTTTCAGGTCGATAAATATGAAGAATGAAAACTTTTTTTCAATAACTTAGTCACCACACAAAAAACCATAGTTTTAAAATTCATCAATGACCTTTTTTCAGTAATTAAAAAAAAATAAAAATTACGTAAATTAATAGTTTATAGCTTTATAAATTTATGGTCAGAAATTTCTAGTTATCAAGTTAATAGCCTTTAAAGGTTATGATGGTGAAATTTTGGCCGATAGTTATAGATAGTGTGGGCCGGAGTTAGAATTAATGCGAGTGAGAAATTCTACCGCTTTTTCGAATCACGTGATAATTTTAAAGGGTGAACCTATCAAGTCGTGTCAATCATTTTCCTAATTGATACTTGTATCCTTAGTTGATTCAACGAGGTAGCATAATTTCTGGTTTACCATGACAAATGGCTATATTTCTTTGTCTGATACTTTTCTTCAAAATTATCATGTCGATTAGTTTGCGGAAAAAAATCTTTTCCTTCTCTCGTGTATTCATTCATTAAAAAATATTTTATCACATCCTGCTAAAATATTCTACTAAAATTGGCATTTTATAGATGTTGCGAGATTGAGGTGCATTTAGAATCCAGGCATATTGAATAATACATGTATACAGTGTTTAAAATATTTACATAAATGCATAGGTGAATCTAATTAGTTTAAAAAAAATAAAATTCAATACAAATGAATAATCCAATACAAATTTTTGCAAGAAGATTCATTAAAACTGGTTTCTTGAGTTAATTTTAGTGATTTTTTAAAAAATAATTTCGATAACTTTAAATCTAAGCTTAATTTTAATACAGTCATCCCTCCATATAAAACTCACCATATCTTTGTTGCAATGACCTAAGATGCTCTTTATGGTTGTCATTCACACCCGCCTCATAATCGGCCTCTTCCGTTTAATGTACCTGGTGAAAAATGGATCCTGTTCCAAAAGACAGACCAAATGTTGCTAAGGAACTTGAATCCTTTATCGACTCGATACATAATAAGTAGTGGCGAAATTGAATACTTTGGCATTTTCAGAACTATAGCATTTTAAGACACGCTTTAATTTCTTCATCTGCTTTTGTATAATTTAAACTAGAAACCGAAAATTAGGTTTATTTTGATAAAGAGATGGCATCGCAAAAAAATTGATGACGAGAGGAATGCACAAAGTATTCCTAAGGATATATTTCGAAATATTAATTTCGATCCCAATTGATACAGAAACATACTTTCTATTTCGAAGCATGTTGACATTTCATATTAATTAAGGTTCTAATTAATGTTAGTTTTCATTGATTTCTTTAATTCAGCATCAGTGCATCAAAGAAACTATGAAAACAGTTTCAAATCATTGAATCGATATCAACTGATTTTTATGCACAAATTAATAGATCTCATATTGTTTTATTCTAAAATTTATTTCTTTTTATGTACTTTATTCAATATACGCACACATGTCTAATCTATTAGAGAATCTATGGATGATATATAATTAGGGGTGAAGACTTACTGTAAAGTTGCAACTCTAGTTACAACTCGCCAATAACGTATTAAAATGCAACTCTAAATATCATTCAACCAACTATTGGATGTTGTATTAAAGTTGGATGTCGTATTAGCGTTAGAGTAACTGGAATCAGATGTCGTATCTGAAGTCGGATGTCGTATTAGAGTTGGATATCATAACTCAAGTTAGATATCATATTAGAGTTGGATGTTATAACTAGTATTGGATGTCGTAACTAAAGTTGAATGTCATAATCAGAGTTTGGTGTCGTAATCAGAGTTGAGAGTAAGTATCCTAGTCACGAACAAAAACTAATCAGATTTTTCCAAACCAAAATTCCAATCCAAATTCTGATCCAAATCCCAAATCATATTGTATTTTAATAAATAACAAACTTACAAATCAAATCCATTAAAATATGATTAAAATTGTTACTTTGCTTTTAATTGTTTCTAACAAATTTGATTTGATTTGATTTGTTTGATGAAAAATATATTGTTCTTGATTTAATTGATGAAAAATACATTATTTTATGCTTTTTTATTCATACAGATTATATTCACAATAAATTCTAACTGTATTTATTATATGTAAAATAAAAATTAGTTCTTTCTAAGTTAGATATATATAAATAATATAGAATAAAAATTATTAGTTTATTAAAATTATATGCTTATCTTTTCTTTTAATATATTATTGATTTTTAGATATATTCTTTCAGACATGATCTTGCATAATTTTTTTCTATTAATATATATTCAAGTCTGTTTTATATCTAATATTTACATATTGTTATCATTTTAAGTTTATGCATATGTAAATATTTTAAAATAATAAGAGTGACTATATTCATAATAATTATTTACTTTTATGACTTTAAAAGATTATATAATTAATTATCTTCTCAATAAGATAATATATATAAGTTTTACTTCTAACAAAATTTGATTATCTTTTCAATAAGATAATTTATATAATTTTACTTTTAACAAAATGCTCTCTCAATAAAATAAGAAGAAAATAAAGATAAGATATGTGATAAAATATATATATTTATTAAAGAAAAATACTAATTAATTATTCTTAACTTAGTAGTTAATTCTTTCTATCAAACTTAATTATTCTTCTTGATTACTTCTTGATTTTTTATATATAATATTTTCTTATTACGCTAATTACAAATTATTTTTAACATAATATTCTATCTAATTTACTCAAGAACAAGTAAAATTTTAAAAGAATAAATATAAAGAATATTAAATATATGATAATTAAGAATTAAAATTAATAAAATATTAAGATATTCAAGACTAAATTAAGAAAAGAAAGAAAAATTAATAATAATTAATTAGAAAATTATTAATTTAATAAAACTATAAATTAGGTATGACATACATAGCTAAATTA